CTTTAAATCAAGAGAGGATTTTAAGGTGAAAAATAATATCAGTTCTCCCTTCAGTTTCTAAGTGAAGCTATTAAACTTTCAAGAAGATGGTGTCAATGTGCCTTTGAAAATCCTGTTACTTAGTGTTGTTGTAAAAACTTGAGTAAGTCTCATGTAAATTGTACCAATATGACAATGATGATTATAACTTTTAACTCCAAGTAGCCTGTTAAATATACAAATAGAATTTAGTTTGCCTACGATTTTGTAGCTCATGACTGAGAGAAAGCAAGCCAACCCATGGAAGAAGAAATTTACCCAGTCTTAGTCCAGGGCAGGAGTGAACAAATTAGAGATAGTGCCTGCATTTTTGGTAATTTCTGAATACGTACTAGACCATAACTACTAGACTGCTCTGAACCCAGAATGAGAGAGCTAAAAAGGAGATGAGCCCACAACTAGGAAAAAGTAGGGAGAAGACTGGTGTTCTCCCTAACATACCTTTTGTCACTGTTGCTGTCAACTAAACTTGCTTGGTATTAGATGATCACTTAATTTAAACCTCCACTTACCCACTTTAAGTGGGTGCACCCTTACAGAAGTATTCAAATAAGCTGCAAAGGAGCCTTATTAATGTATGCCACGGTGATATTTTTATATATTGATTAAAAAATACAACGTACTTATATAGTGCCTATCAGAATATATTACAAATATTTATTCCTCATGGCATGTCTTTAAGTTAAGTGGCCAGTCTAATTGTAGGCAATTCTTAATTATTTCTACCAAAGGATGATAAAATAAAGATAATACAAAAATCAGATAATCTAAAAATTGATGATATCATATAAACACAGATAAAAAGGGAGAGAGTGAGAGGGAGAGAGAAAGGGAAAAAAATGGAGGGAAGGAAAGAAAAAAAGGAGAGAGAGGGAATATGAGAATTATAGATGTAATAAAGGGGAGTGGTAATTTGCATTGCAGAAATGGCTGGGGAGCAGAAGCCACCTACCTACCGTTAAAGTTGCCTGAGTAACACTTCCTGAAAAAGCAGAAAGTGTCTGTGTTTGTGGTGGTGACAAGTTGACTCAGGCTCTTCAAAGCACCCAGAACCTGGAACAGATCTTGGCTTTGGGTTCAATATTCTTCCTCATCCCCTTTGTGTCCCCCTCTCCCCCCTATTTGTGGCTACCCTAGAGGCCTTAAAATCTACCAGAATAACACTGGCCCCAGATTCTCACCTAAGTCCCTCCTATCTAACAGTGAAACACCGCACCTCCTTCGACCGTACTGTCAGTGTCCTAGAACTGATTGGTCAGAAGGCTAGAGGAGGTCTTAGACCATTATAGCATTTAGAGTTCCTGGATCTTCTTGAGGTAGATGGAAAAAATGAGCCTTCAGTGGGTTAGTAGAACCTCAAACTACCTAACTCCTGACCTGGAACCAAATTTTACCATCTTCACAGACTAAGAACCTAGTTTTACAGATATATTAACTATGAAAAAGCAGCATATATATATATCTAACATTTTCAGTATACCATAGTTTAATTACCATTAGGGTCAGATGACTAGGATTTTGTTTTATTTTGTTATTGGCTTGGTTTGGTTTACTTTAGGGTGATAGAAATCTTGTCCACATTGTTACTTTAACGTGTTATTTTGTCTTTCCTTTTATTATTATTATCATAATCAGAACAATTTTTAATCATGGTGCTGAACATTGTAAATAATAGACTTCCACAAATTCCTGATTTTTACGGTTTCCAATGAAATGCTGGCAGGTCTAAAGATGAAATCATATCTTTAATGTTTCTAAATGGCCAACGTCTGGAGGTAGGCAAATGTCTTCTAGTAACCTCCCGATTTTCAACTCTGGTAGTTCTCCAGTTCAAACATAATACAATGGGGGAAGTGGTTTGCTGAACCAGCTGACATAAAAGACATGAAGCCTTCGTTCTAAATGAAATACAGTGAGTCACATCCTTCCCTTCTTGCTCAATTAAAAAAAAAAACCTCCTATCTTCATCACTTGTCCCCCAAATGTTGTACTGGTGTTTGTGTAGATGAGTAGATGGATTTCTTTGAGTGTGTTCTGGTGACATTACCTCTCTTCCTCCACTTCCCTCAAAGGAATTTAAATTTTTGGACCTAGGATAAAGCTTCCCCTCCCCCATCCCACCCCCCATTACAAGACATCTGCCTTTCTCAGGTTGTTGGGTTTTTTGTTTTGGGGGTAGCTTTTTTTTGCCATATATGAATCCTCGATGAAGAGAAGTCGGCTACCCTGAGGTATTCTGTATGCATCAGGAAAAGAATAGCTAGGTCACTGCCCCATTGAGGCAACTGAAGAGCTCCATAGTGCACAGAGGGTAGGCCTAGAGTCGAGAAGACCTGAAATCAAATGTGGCCTCAGATGCTTACTAGCTGTATGATCCTGGGCAAGTTACTGTTTGCCTTAGTTTCCTCATCTGCAAAATGGGCATAATCATAGCACCTACCTCATAGGATTGTTGTGAGGATCAAATGAGATAAGTATTAAAATTGTAAAGCACTTTGTACAGTGCCTGGCCCATAGGAAGTGCTACACAAATGTTAGCTTTCAACAACAATAATAAAATTATTATTATTATTAGTCATCCAAGCAGCCCGTGAAGTGTTTGAAGACTTCTTCCTGGAGGGAATATCTTGGGATAAGGGTGTTGGTGATTGATGAGATGCTAGGCTGGAGGGGTAATGTATTATTTGAAATGTATTATTGGTGTCCTGGTCCCCTAGTGGTCATGATGCTTCAAACCAAGTCAAAAACAAACAAACAAACAAACAAACAAAAAACCTTTATGCTTGTGAGTCACGTAAGCAATGCCTCACCATGAAAGACAAAATAACTTATTTCTAACCCCATCTGCCAGTCATCTTTGAATCCAGAAGATGAAATCAGATGAGTGTGACTGCTTTAATTTATGCAACAAAAAATCTTGAGTGATTGCACAATTTTCCATTCAATCCAGCAACAGTAGTTAACTCCAACTTTGTCAGGAGAATATTCAATAGACTTATTTTTTATGCACAGGCATGATCTTTTTTTAAAAAATTAATTTAATTGTGAATCTGTGAGTCATCCAAGGGACTCTTTGTTCCTATGGAGTTGAATACATTAAAGTATAGGCTCTCATTTAAACCCTCTCTAATTTTACACATGTCATTGCTTGAAATAGCCTCCTACCTTTCCCTTGCTAAGGTCCTTCATTTCCTTATTCAAGACTCTACTCAGATTTCCCCCAGTCTGGGAAGGTTTGGGATAAGGACTCCAGCTTCTCTCAAACCACATAGTAATCTGCCTGTATGGTATCCTTTTCAAGTTTTCCTAAACAAAATTAAAGGGAAAACAGAAATCATAATCCATACCTTTTAAAAGTAGGGGATTCCCCAAGTCCCCATCTGATGTCTCATTATGGTTTCAAGATGATTTGAGCTTTTGAAAGCTATCCAGCAAGCCGGTCCTACTAAGCTAGATAGTCTTGAATATGGGCCAGATGTTTTCTATTATCTGAGCACCAGCCTAGTTAGAGGTGGAGAGGCTCAAAGAGCGGACTCCAAGGTAGTGCCTTATTTTGGCCAAAGCAGCTTCTGAAGTCTCTTAAAGTCATGGAAGAGGATGCAAGTTTAGTTGACAGTGGGAGTGCCCTCCCTGAACACAGATCTAGTCATGTATTAAAGTGATACAATGAATGCACATCTGTTCTGACATGTGACCCATATATATCATACAGTTAGGACTGGCCCAGAGCAAAATTGTGAGGTGCTCAAATTTGTTCGAGGCACCTTCTTACATCCTTTTCTGTGCCCCTATCCAGAAACTGTGACAGTCTATGATCCACAGCCAAATGTAATCACTGGGGCAACATTACATTAAAAAGATGGGCTTTTGTGTCAGAGATTGGCTTGGTCCCAATGAAAGCACCGAACGATTTTCCTAATATAATCCAGCCTGATTATTAAACACAGCAGCTATCTATCGAGGAACCTAATATGATCTTTTTTTTTCTTGGTTAATAGAGTTTAATAGATGTTTCCAGTTAATAGCATACTAATTGGTGTGGTACTCACATTTTAACAGTGCCCTGTGTTCCTCTAATTGGATCCTCTGACTTGGAAGGCAGAGTCATGAACTTCAACATCTCTGTTTAAGGAAGGGGTCCAGCACAATCTTTTCTTTTTTCCCACCAGTTGCAATGCTTTGGGACTTCTTTGGATTCCCCCCGCCCCCGCCTTTTCAGCTTCCTTTTTGGGTCTTCTTCCATTAATATGTAAGCTTCTTGAGGGCTGAGACTTTTTTTTTTGTATTTGTATTCCCAGCACATAGAAGAGTGCTGGGCAAAAGTAGGCACCATAGAATAGTGACTATATTTTATTCTATATTGTCCTTCTCCAAGATAGCTTAACCTTTTAAACAACTTGACAAGTATGTTAAACTGCAGACAAATGGGTGATATATTTGTTTCATTTCCATCCTTTGCTAGTGTTTGCTGTATCTTATCTTCTATTTTTATTGTTATCTTGTTTTTTTACATCATCATAGTATCCTCCAGTAGCCCTGTTCCTCTACTCCCAGAGAACCATTCCATATAACAAATAGTATATATAATATGTATATAGATACACACACACACACACACATATATGCACATATGCACACACAGACACACACACACACCCCTCTGTGTCAGTTCTTCCTCTGCTATCTCCTTTGTATAAGATAATTATTCTTTTTACCTTTTCCTAAATGGTTTACTTTTTAGTATCACATGATACTCAGTTCTAATCCAATCTTTCTTTCGAACTGCCCAATTACTAATGATCTTAGACATATAATTTACATTTCCTCATATAAATCTGTCCTTATTGAGTCCTTTGTAATTAGTCTTTGATGTTTACCTTGCATTTCTCTTAGATCTTGCATGTCTAATTTTCTATTGATGTCAGGTCTTTTTGCAACAAAAACCTGAAAGTCTGGCAATTAAAAATATGGAATGGTTACTTGGGTGTCACCCTTGCACAGGGGCCATGATAATTTTCTCTGTATCATTCCAATTTTAGTATATGTGCTGTGGAAGCAAGCACACAAATATTATTTTTAAGACCAAAGAAAGGAGACAATTTAATATAACTGATCAGTACATAGAAAAAGTCTGAAAATATGTGCAATATGCAACATTTGTGAACTTCCCTTCTCAGCAAAGGGATGGAATGTGAATTTCTTCTATATCTCTTGTTTTGAGGCATGCATCTTTGTTTGGTTTTTTGCAATTTTGCAAAATTCACTTTTGATTTTGTGTATAAGTGGTGGTTTTTTCCATTAACATTGTTGTCATTCTATTGTTTTCTTGGTTCTGCTTACTTCATTCTGCATCAGTTTATATAGTTCTTTCCATGTTTCTCTACATTCATCACATTCATCATTTCTTACAACACAGTAATATTCCATTACATTCAGGTACCACAATTTGTTTTAGTCATTCCTCAATCAATGAGTATCTACTTTGTTTCCAATTCTTGGCTATCACAAAAAGTAATGCTATAAATATTTTGATGTGTATTGGGACTTTCTTTTTATCAATGGCCTTCTTGGGGTATAAGTCCGGTAATAGAATCTCTGGATGAAAAGGTATAGACATTTTAGTTGCTTTACTTATATAAGTTCAAATTGTTTTCCAAATTATTGCGCTGATTCATAGCTCTACCAACTATGTATTAGTGTGCTGAATTTTGTTGTCTTTGCTGATTTGCAGGTTATGTAATAAAGCATCAGGGTTGTTTCGATTTACATTCTCTTATTATTTGTGATTTAGAAAATTCTTTTATGTAGCTATTAATAGTTTGCATTTCTTTTGAGAATTGTTTGTTTATTTCTCTATTGGGAAATGGCTGTTGGTCTCTATATATCTACTAATTATTTATACATATATTGGACGCCACACCCTTATCAGAGAAATTTGATACAAATATTTTTCCCATTTGAGCACTTCCCTTCTTATGTTAGATGCATTAATTTTGTCAATGCAGAAGCTTTTCTATATTAAGTAATCAAAGTTACCTATTTTATCTTTTGTAATTACCTCTATCTCTTGTTTGGTTAAGAATACATCTTTTACCCATAGCTGTGAGAAGTATATGATCTGCTTCACTTCTAATTTTCTTATAGTATGATTTTAATATTAAATTAATCTAGAATTTTTAGAATAATCTAATTTAGAATGTATAGTAAAATGTGCTGTAAAGTGTGGATCTAAGCCTAATTTCTTCCATATTGTTTTCCAGTTTCTCCAGCAGATTAAAAAAAATACAGAATTCTTTCCTGTGTAACTGTGTAAATCTTTTCCAGTTCATTGAATTCCATTATTGAGTTCCATTGTTTCTGCTTTTACTTACTTAGTCTGTTCAGTTGATTTACCTCTCTATTTTTTAACCAAAACCAGATGGTGTTAATGACTGCTGCTTTATAGTAAAGTTTGAGGTTAGGATGTGCTATTCCCCTTTCAGTCCTATCTTTTTTTTAATCATTTCTCTTGATATTCTAGAACTCTCCTGTTTTTCTAAAGGAATTAAAATCTTATAAAGTATTCCTTTGATAATTTGATTGGTTTTACATTAAGCATGTAAGTTAACTCTGGTAGTATTGTCATTTTAATTATATTGATTAAATTATAATTTTAATTAATATTTTAATAATTTTATTAAATTATAATTATATATAATATATAATAGAAGCAATAATTTAATTAAATTATAATTTTACTTATATTGGCATGGCCCAATCATGAGCACTGAAAATTCCTGCAGTTACATAAATTATTTTAAAAATTTCTTTAAGAAGCATTTTGTAATTGAAACTATACAAGGCTTTTGTATACTTTGTTAGATTGATTCCCTAGATACATTTAGCACTTTGTAGTTATTTGGAATGGTATTCCCCATTCTATTATTGCCTCTTGGATTTTGTTATTATATAGAAATGCAGTATATTTTTTTCCTTTTATTTTATTTTATTTTTAATTTTTCCCCAGTCACACGTAAAAACATTTTTTAACATTCATTTAAAAAAATTGAGTTTCAAATTTTCTCTTTCCCTTCCTCACCTTCCCTCTTCCTGAGATAGTAAACAATTTGATATGGGGTATACATGTTCAATCATGGAAAACATATTACCATATTAGTCATGTTGTGAAAAAAGACACAGAATCAGGGAAAAAAAACATGAAAAAATACAAAAAGTGAAAAATAATATGCTTCCATCCATGCAGTTTACTTTTGAAAATTTATTTTGTAGCCTGCAACTTTGCTGAAGCTCTTAAGTGTCTCAATTAGTATCTTTGCCGATCCTCTGGGGTTTTCCAAATAAACCATTATGTGATTAGCATACAGGGATAGTTTTATCTTCTTCTTACCTATCTTCTTGTGTTTCTATGTTCTTTTGGGAATCCCCTGGCTCCTCCTCCTTATCAGGTGTTAATTCATTTTCTTTTGTCTTGTAATACATAGCTTCTTGAACTCTCTTACCTGACCTAGAGGCCTTCTGCAATTAGTATCTTCCCCATTGGTTTATCTGGTTGGTTTTTCTGTTTGTGCTCAAGGTCTTTAATTGAGTTTTCTTCCTTCTGACATATTTTTTCAATCTTTCTTCATTATTTTCAATAATGAGTAATTTTAATCTTTTTTTTCATTATATTCCCCTGTTGCTCACTTAATGAGTCTCTCCATTTTGATGATGGTTTCCTAGGGGTCTAGACTTCAAAGAGGCTCAATCTCCGCTGATACTGGTCAGTTCATGGTTCACCAGCCTTGATCTCTGCCCCAAGTGACTTCTGAAGGAAAAGAACTGGCTCCAGTTAGATGCCGGGCTCTTTACCTCATAACTGCAAATATGTCCTGCCCCCTTTCTCTCTGTTCCTCTGTTATCTGGCTGAGCTGTTCCTCACTGCCATGATGCTGTCACAGCCTGAACAGATTCCTGCCTTTTACATCTCCCCTCACTATATGAGGAGCTGAATTCTGTTGCAATCAGCTAGGTCAGCTTGTATACCGGAGGAGTATGGTGCAAAGGGATACTGAGTGAGCTCTTGTTAAGAGATAGAGATTAGCTTTCTTAGGTGATTTTTTAACCTTGTTTTGGTTCTTTGTATTCTAGATTACTGAGGCAAATAAAATTGTTTTACCTCTGGTGCATAATTCCTATTTTTGAGAGGTTTGAGATGTCACAAGGACCACAGAACATGTCTAACCTCCATATTTTGGTCATGTGACCATTTCGTATGATCTTAACTCAAGCATAAGACCCTCAAAATGGAGACCTGATGATGAAACATACATCCCTCTTCTTAGCAGAGTGTGGAATGTCGCATGAGCTGTCAGATACAGCCATTTAACTTGATTGTCTTTCTTTGTAGAAAGGGAGGGTTCAACAATGTCTTTTTCCTGGTTTGGTGGTCCCAGAGAAGTAATGTTAATTGATACATCTGTGGAATAAGCAAGGCATTACACCTGAAGCCTTGACCAGAACAGGTTGGAAAAAACAGACTCATTGCTAAGATAGACTTGAACACTGAGACAAGGAAGGAAGTGGCCACCATATCCAGAACTTCTGCTGTGGCACACATTTGAAGCAGATGTAAGATGCTTTTAGAAACCAGAAAATGAAGGGTAGGAATCAGATGTATCCTGAATTGAATATAATATATAAACTATGTAAAATACCTGCTCAAAAGACTGACATTGAATAGAGTATATAGAACCCATGCCTTTTAGAGGGCACTGAATTCAGTAAATCTCAATCAGAATTGTGTGTAGACAGACATTTAGTTAAACAAATATCTATCAAGCCCCTACTACATGTGCTAGGCACTGTACTAAGTACTTTCATACAAAAATGAAAAAATGACCCAGTCCTTGCACTCAAGAAGCTTATGTTCTAATGGAGGGAAATAGCATGTACAGAGAAAAATATTTTAAAAAAGAGGGTGTGATGGAGGGCAAGAGAAGAGCTAGACAAAGTACTCTAGGAAAAATGAAGGACAGCGAGGAAGCATGGCACAGTGGAAACAACATTGGCTCTGCAGTCAGAGGACATGGGTTCAAATTTTACTTCTGATGCGTACTGACCATGTGAGTTTGGGCAGGTCACTTAGACTCTTTATTCCTTAGTTTCCTTGACTGTAAAATGAAAGGGTTGGCCTGGACAGACTTTAAGGCCCCTTCTAGCTCTAAATCTATGATTCAGTCAGAGAATGCTTCATCTGAAGGACAGGAGAATCAAGGAAGACTTCACAGAGTAAGTAGTACTTGAGTTGAGCCTTATGTGTCTGTATCCACATTTATATCCACATTGATTCAATTCAATAAACATTTATTAAGAGCCTACCATGTGCCAGGCATTGTGCTAAGTTCTGGGATACAAAAAGAGTCAAAAGAGAGTTCCTGCCCTCAAGGAGCTTACAATCTTACTAATTTTGTCTATACCTGACCTATATCCACAGGTCTTTTTGTATGCTTCTATCTCAAACTACTTATATACTCAATCAGACTTAGGTGGATACCTAGCCTCTGTCTCAGCTGAACCTCCTTCTCTGGTTCAGTTAACTACATTCCAACGAAATTTCCAACAGAGTTATCTATCTATTATCTTTCACTCTGGTGGTCATTTGCAAACTCTCATTTGACATAGCTATTCCATTCATTATCAAGGCTAAAAATAGAAGAAGTAAGTCCATTCAAATGACCCTTCTCTCTCTAATCTGTCAGATCCTTGCAGGCTTAGAATTAATCCCATGCCAGGGTCCCCTTTAGGAAACATTTCCTCATTTATTCCACTTCCCTAAACAAACAGCTGTATTTGCCAGTTCTAAGAAATGGGTGAAAAGACAGCTCATGTGGTTAAAATTTCATAATCCCTCCCTGGCTGATCAATCCCCCAAAGCCTTTTAAGTTTAAAGAGAACAGATCATCCAGTGTTCAGGACCTGAAGCTCAGGAACCCATAGAATCAGGGCAGAAATGGGCAGGATTGCAGATTTGTCCAGATACCGTTAGATTAATGGTACTGCAGAAGTAAAGTTAGTTGGTACCATA